TAGGATCATGCTCCCGGCTTAGTGGCTGTGGTTTACCTGCTGAGTCAATGTGACATTTAACGTGTCCGTGCCTCAAGCATTTCCCACTTTAAAACAGAAGCCGGGAGGGTTGACCCTTATTTGTAAAGCCTTTCAAAGTCCGTTGCAAGGTGTTGCGGTATGGTTCTTATTTAAAACACCGCTAGATCTGTAATTCCTCAAACGAGCAGGCAGGGATCAGAGCAGTGCAGCCGCCGTGCCCCTCGGCGTGCCCTCTGGGCTGGCAGAGCAGCTGGGCGCAGGCAGGGGACGGCAGGACCTGCTGGCAGTGGCCCTGGGCTGGCTGCTGCCAGCACACAGCCGGGGAGGCCAGGGCTCCAAGCCTGCCCACAGCCCAGAGTGCCAGCAGGTCACAGAGATCGGCTCCTCTTGCGATGCAGGGAAGGCTGCTGAGAGTCACCGTCTCTGCCGCTGCCTGTCCTTCCTCCCATTCATTTTTATCCCATTTGGAAGTGCTCATTAGCGTTTATTACCACTCGTCAACCAGCAGCTTGACGTAACAGAGCTGGCAAGGGGGACGGGGAAGGTGAGGGAAGAAAACGGACGCAAAAGCAGGTGCTGTTTGGTAAGAGGGCTACCCTAGAGCAGTATAGACCTTATAGCATTATAGTTTATAAATGCAGAGTTTTCTCTCCCATTCTCCCTTGCTATTGCAGAATTGCCAACTCTCATATTTTCTCTGAGTCTCTCTTGTTAGTCCGTGTTGTGTTCTTTCTCATGCCCCAACTCATCGAGGCAGGTGATTAGGAGAGATGCTGCACTTCTGGTTTTTGGATACGTTTCTAGTGTTTATGGCTGGAAACCCAAGGGCATCCTAGAGGCTGAAAAAATACCCCAGCAAAAGGCAAAGAACCCATACATACTATTTTCATGGAGCTTCTTGGTTGTTAAACCTTTTTCTTTTCTTAGAATTACCACGTTGCAATGTGGCAACTCTCTTCTTCCCTGTTTCCTTTCAGAATATTCCTACTCGTCTCTTCTGTATTTTGTCTCCTCTTATTTCTCCACTCACCCCCACAAACCTCACTTCTTCCAGTCCTTTTCTCTTCCATTAATCCCCTGTGATTCCCTTCCTTACCCCACTCATGGCACCCGCCCTCCACATCCCTGGTCACACACAGCCCTTTGGCAGCTTCAGCCCTTCCACCTCCATTAACTCCAGCTGCTTTCCAGACACAATCTCACATGCATCCTCCTCAGCCACCCTCACTTTGCAATATGTGTTAGTCATCCTTGATTCTAGAAAACACCAAGTTTACTAAGGAAATTTCATAGACCACACAGCAGTTCTATGACCTGTAGACAAATTCTTGGGAGTGTTTCTAACAGGAGGTGCCTCTCCTTTCTGGCATCCAGCACCAGATACTACCAAAGCAATCAGTAGAAAAGTGCCAACCTCCTGTCCTCATCTTAGGCTCCATCAACAGCCTGGTGCTTGAGAAAACTGAGCTGAAAGCCCTGAGTTTTATCATTGCTAAAAGCTTTGACACTCCCGCTGATGTAAGTACTTTGAACGCTGAGCCATTTTGATGTGGTCTCAACAAAACATACTTGTGGTCTGGATCCAGACTTCATCATTTATGTAACTCTAATCTAGACATTAACATTTCCATGTCCCAGCTTAATTTTCTGTAAAATGAGGATCATGTGCCTCTTCCTATCTCTTGGTCTGGTAGGAGGTTCAGTACAGTTTCTCACATGCTCTGAAGTTCTCAAATGAAGGGATTGAATTCAGGGACAAGGAACCAAAGTGCTTTTCTGCCTCCTGGTTGCAAAGCCATTATTCACATTGCTCCAGGAATGCTCTAAATATGCATCCAGTTGGTAGGTAAGGCACCAGAGGGTGAGATGTGCACTAGAAACCTTTTCCCCTTGTGCTTAGATCGTTATCTCAAACCTAAAACCCAAACCAGCCGCATTAAACTTAACTAGCACTATGTCATATGACAACTCAATAGATGGGAGCCCTCAGAGCAAATTTTAAGTCCAAGCAGAATAACATTTCTTTGCCATGTTTATTATGTCTTGTCCAACAATGATGTCTAAAGGGCTTGCTGTCTATTAGCTAGTGATTTAACGCTGTTTGCCATAAGTCTTTGGAGGGCAAGGCATTTCACTTAAAGGGAAGTTGTTCTTTTTAAAAGAACAAGAGGTTTCTTTTCATTGGAACATGCGCCACAATCTCAGGAACCTCTGCTTGCAACACCAGTCAGGTTGTGCGTCCCATCCCTGACTGCTGCTGGTGGGCCAGAGTGGAAAGTACTAATCCAGGAGTGCTTGAACTTCTCCAGAGAGCATCTGACATGGGGCCTTTTTGGGTCCAAGTGTTCCAAGTGTGTGTGGGAAGGACATTTCCCTTTAGTGGGTCCCTTTGATCTCTCTCACTTCGGGCTTCCCCTCCAGGCCTATTGTTTGCACATTGCTGTAACTACAGGAAAACAAACACATTATACAATTTCCCAGACTGACTCACCCTGGTACTTGATGCCTCATGTTGTCTGGTTACCCTGATTGCATCATGTCAGCATGGGAAGCTTAAAGGCTGGTTTTTCTGAGTAATACTGCAGTTGAGCAGTAGCTAAAACTAAAAAAGTTATCATTATTGCTATTATCTTCAACCTGTAAAGTACAAGGGAGAAAACCAAGCAAGCCAAGTGCCTATTAACTAAACCTTGTGTGAATCATGAGTTCCAGTCAGGGGCCACGCTTAAATGATGCAGTATGTGAATATAAAAACCCTTTACTTCTGGAAACTTGGACTCAGCCATTGGAACGGGCCAATCCGTACTACTCCCTCGTCCCCGGCTCCTCTGGGACGCGTTTTGTTCAGCGCGTCGTAAACAGGGAAGGGCGGGAGGTGTCCATGCGGCTGCGTCATGCGCAGCGGGCACAGGGCCATTGCTTCTGGGTGGGGATGAAACCCCAGGAAAGTTGTCCCCCGGTTAGAGTTCAAGCATCTCACATTCCTGTAACTAACGTGTATGTGGAGGGAGGGGGTTATCCGCACTGTTTATCTTCTGCTGTCCTAGATGCGCCCAAAGCTGACAGAGCTTCAGAGAGCAGCTCCCAACACCTGGCTTGAGGCTCTCCATCGCTGCGCCACGGCCCCTTCCTGAGCCGCGTCGTTGGCTGCCCAAACAGCCGCCAAAACACTCCCCATAGGATCCCCCCTAGGTGTTAGCAAGACAGTCTCGCAGCAAGGTCAATTCTGACGCAGGATTTCTTCCACAAACCAAAACTTTGTTTAAAAGAAAGCAAACCTCCCTCTCCCGCGCCTTCCTCCGTGGCAGGGCCGTGCTGGGCGAAGGCAGGGATTGCAACTGTCACAATCCCACGCCGGCAAAACGTCTCTTGCAAGCCTCAGACCTCGCCTTCCCGTTCTGAACCGGGCAGACGCAGAAGCCACTGCTTTCCCTCAGGCTGCCACACGCAGCTCCAGCCCGCAGCACTGGCTGCGCCTACGTATTCGGCCGCGTTGTATCAAAGGGCGACGGCACGGCGCGGGGACGACGGAATCCTCCTGTTGCGCACGCTGGGCCACGTGCTCGCGTGCTCTGGGGGAACTAATTTCAGAGGTTTTAATTTCACGTAAGCCAGCACAGAGCCAGAGGCGGTGGCATCCATTAGCTCACGGAGGAAAGCCATCATCTCTTGTACGCCCCGGCCCACAAAGGTTGAAAGGAAAGCTAGATAGTAAAAACACTGCAATAAAACTCCATTTCTCTTTTGAGTCAGCTGTGTGGGACAAAAGCCTCTAATTTCATGGTACCTCGCAAGGAAAAGAATCACTAAAAGCTACGAGACAAAAGCCTCTACGCCAACAGCACTTCTCAGATTCAGTTTTGATCACTTGATATTTCATGCAAACAAGAGGCATTGCGTAAACCAAGTTAAATATATATATTTGCACTGACAAATCAATAGTAACAAAATTAATAAGGCCTTCTTTAAGCTTTGAGGACATGATTAAAGGGCTTTCCAAGCATATTTCTTCATTCAAAAGGATATAATTACACTTAAACAAGTTATCATGTTTGTGCACTGTAAGTACAAAAGCAGCTCTTACGGGACTTGTCTAGACACTTCCACTGCGTTTCTTTGTTCTTCTTGTAAAGTTGTTTTTTATAAAGTAACTGCACCACTATCCCATGTTTTCACTATTTCTTTCCAAGTTTTATCTCTTTCTTAAATTCTGATAAGAGAAGATTCCTTCCTTTACAGAACCTGTGTTTTCTCAAATTTTCATTTTACAGAAATTTGCCAGGAAATGTTTTGTGCATCCAGAATGATTTCACCTTTTTCAGATGCATGAAATTTTTCTATTTCGTCTCTTTCGCATTTTCTGGTACGAGTTCTTCAACTAGAATAACTCAGCGGTGGCATTTTAAAAAATTACGCAATGAATTGAAAGAAAATTGCCACCCAAAGTAATGCAGACCTGCGACTGTGCAGAGGGTTATTGCCTCAATCAATTATCTGTAACCTCAGACGAACAAATTTTAAAAACCATTACATATGTTAATATATGCACACCAGTGTTCCAGCTGGCTTGCACCAGCGCTACAATTATGCATAAAAGCCAGGAAATTATGTGTGGAAAGGATAATGAGCAGCATTGTCTGCCCAATTACCCAGTTTGCATATGCAAACAATAATTTTGCAAATCTGTGCCTGGCAAGAGTTTTTCCTGAAGTTGCATCAGCAGCTCTAAGGTTAACTGGAAGAGCAAAGTAACCCAAAACCACCTCAACTCTGCTTCAACCCATCCTCCCTTTTTTAAAGGGAAGAAAAGTGCTTCATCTGAAGGCGATTAGGCGGCGAAGCCCGCCAGCCCAGCCCCGGCGTAATCTGCCTGTTGCTGAAAGGCCGACCAAGTGTCCTGCGTACGGCCCGTGGATGAATGCCTGTAGGGACGCCAGTGGGAAGCCTGGGCAACTGGGAACTGTGCTGCTTTTTTTCAGGGATTCCGATTTGTTCCTGCTCGACTCTCGAACAATCTGGGCCGCAGAAGAAGGGTGGCTGGTGTTTGACATTACTGCAACCAGTAATCACTGGGTGGTGAATCCCCAACACAATCTTGGCCTCCAGCTGTCCGTGGAAGGCATCGATGGTGAGTGTCAGACACCAACGCGAATCAGTGAGTCTCCGTTTCAGGCACACGATTCCCAGCCGGGGCAAGCCGTAAGCATTCAGTACTCTTCCTTTTGAATAGGATTTCTTAACCGTGTTTTTCCTGAATTTGCCTCAGACGCTAATAATAGTAATAACAACAACCTACAGACGTATTTGGGGTTAAGGATGTACTCAAATGCTTTCACAGCCAGGTGACCTGTCTGCAGTCGTTTCAGTATTAGCTATGTACACGCTGCTGGCTGATTTGCAGGTAGTGCAGTCCAGACAAGGAGAGAGGAAGAAGCTTTGCTGTGTGTGAAAAGACACAACCGAGTGATGTTGAAGGCTGGTGTTAATTGGCACAAAAGTCCTTTCAAATTCAAATTCAGAAAGAATTCAGCTAGAAGCCATTTTAATTTCCTCTGTGGCAGTAGAAATGACCAGCAAAGTCATGCCTGGTCTGGACTCCAAGGTCTGCAGTGTGCTTATGCTACAAACCTGTGAGGTTTGGGAATGGGTGGGAGGATCTGGCTCTCAAACATCTCCAGAAAGGATGTGTTTAGAATCAGGTGAGGTATTTTCCTAACCAGGTCTTAACTAAAAAGTCATGCTGCTTTGTCTTAAAGTTAAGATTCCTGATGCTCACTTGGAGACTTGTGCAAGGACACCAAAGTATCCTGGATCTTCTGGGGGGTTCCCAGGACCTGGGACCATCTGAAACTGTCTAGCTGGCCCACAGGAGAGGTTAAGCAAAACCCATCTCAAAACTATTATAAATACTCTGAACGTAGTTATCTAAGGACATACTTTCATTCTCCAGATACGCATCTATGATATCACTTGCTGTTGATTTTTGTGCATCACTCTGAACGTTTCCAGTAAGTAGTAATTTTTCAAAAAGACCGTGCAAAGCAGTTTTGAAACAGGCGACCTGTGGAGAGTCGTTTACATGAAAGGGTGATTTACTCATGTGAGACGTGTGCACAGGGTTTGTTTTAACCTGCCCTTTCTGAGCGATCAGTGAATGCAGAAACCCAGATACAACGCAGGAGCTTCACCATGGAAGCTACTAGTCCCCACCCCAATGACAGATGCCTTTTGCCACCTTTGCATAAAGATTCAAATTCAACCTGCTTTACAACTTAATCTTAACTCTTAAAGCTAAAACAATTAAGGCAAATTAACAGCCAAGACAAGCTTAACCTGTTTTCAAACACTTGTCCTTGTTTTTAGTTTCCACTTTGCCTCCTAAAGGAAATACTTGGAAGTACAGAAGTTGTGTCCGTGATCACGGCACGCTCATTCAGTTCTGGTTCATATATAGGAAAACCATGAAGACCAAGCCCAGAGTCCACAGAAAAAGTGATAGCTGGAAGTAGACTTAATATCTGTAAACACTGTGATACTACAATATCACACTCATGTTCTTATACTGATAAAGCCTTTCTTATCACTCCCCCATCCTCACCTACTGAGTTTCCAGCAAAAGTCAATCCCATTTTTCAGCATTAAGGAGGAAGGCAGCTGATTTATGAATATGTTACAGATTTCAGTGGAGACTTCTCAGGATCCTGCATCCAAGGAAATGCTGCAGCTTTGCACACGCTTACAGTAACTCTGTCTGCTCTGCTGGAACAATCAGGACTCTGCCCTTAAAAGCATACAGCCAGATCTATTCCAGATAGTGCTTTCAGAGACAAAAATCCCCAGGTTCAGTGATAAGTGCATTCTTATCTGTTATTCAATGAAAATTAGTAATCTGGTTTCTTTTTACACTCCTGAAAAATCTAGCTGACTTTTGTAAAGGATTGAAATCAGATAAAAAGTAACTCGCTGCTTCTGCAAAACAGATTAACAAAATACTTTAATCAGCCTATCATTAAAGTTAGAAAAACTAACTGCAGTGTTTAAAAAGTAAATACAGAGGTACAGGACCCGATTGTCTGCTTGTCTTCTGTAACTAAGTCCCCTGGCAGCACACCTTTGGACTCACAGCTCTCCACCTTACACGTGAGCTTTTCTTTCTATTTTGAATGGCAAGGACACATCCTTCCTTGCTCCCCAAGTTTCAGTTTGGATTTAGACTGTGTGCACTACCAAAACAGCTGCTTTTACACCTGGACTTCTTATGAAAATAATACGCTGCAAACACAGCAGGATTTTGATGCAGCACTATATGCTTAGGCAACCCCCAAAGCTTTAAGTGAATTAGAAAAAGAAGAAAAAACATCTTTTCTTTGTATCTGTCACTACATATAGAGGTCTCTAACCATGAAGCCAATACAGTCTTACGTAAAAAAAATTCTGCCATTGTGAGCACTGAAATTATACAAAAGAAATTAATTTAACCGATCTTTGTATTTCTTTATAATCTTGCCAAATAAGTCTATCAAGGTGTATAACTAGGGTGGAATCAAAGGGTATTTGTTTAGTCTTAGAAGATGGGGATCGGCTCCAGCAGGAAGCGAAAGAAACGTTCGAGCGGCTGGGTAGCCTTCAGCCAGCTCTCAGCCCAGCGCCCCGGACACCTTGCCCGGCAGCAGCACGTGGGAACGGCAGCTGCCCGCTTCGGTTTCCTTAGTTTATGACTTAAGATCCCATTTTTGACAGTATTAAAAAAGCAGCTACATAAGAGCAGATAAAGCTGTGCCCTCTGGTTCAAGAGCACAGCTTTAGTTCTTTTGGGAGAAGTTTATCATCTTCTAATGGGAACTACATGTGTCCTTGTGTTTAACCTTGCTTTCTGGATATACAGGAAAGTTAGAAAGAGGATTTTTCCCATCTTTATTAAGAAGAAATATGCTACTTCACGTACATACACATAATACCTCCACAAAAGGCATTACATGCCTTTTTCCCCCTAAGGAAACATAGCCACCATACTGGTTCTGAAGGCGAGGTGTTGGTGTTGGTGAGGAAATCATTGGTCAGATGCTACTTCGGCTGCGCCGGCGCACGCCCGTGAGCGTATCGGCGTGCAGCTGGGTCCCCTCCCCGCGTACCGCTGAGCTGCTCTCTAGAGACGTGGTGAGGGTCAGGTACTTTACAGTGGACAAGCTGTAGATGTGCTTGCTAGTTTAAAGAGCTTTGGGAAGCAGAAAGGCTGCTGTGAAGGGGCAGGAAAAGCCGTAGGAGCTGTATTCAGTGAGCTCTAACGCCAGCAGCTGAGCTCGTTTTCAGGAAATAAGGCTTCGCTCTGGCAAAGCCTGAGCACAAGTGGAACTACTTATATATTTAGCAATAGCTACTTGGTTAAGCACTTCGTGGGCTCGGCCTCAAACATTTAAAATGAAAATTGGACTAGTTTCCGGAAAGGAGCTTAAGCAGAAGGTGAAGAAGTTGTTGATGTGTGTCCACACAGAAATCTCCCTGCAGGAGTTTTTGCATTTGCTATCTTTGCCGCAGCTTTCCCGGTGCCCTGCCCGAGATCAGTTTTGCCTTGCCCGGCTGGCGGGGCCCGGCCGCGCCGCCCTGCTG